TCGCTGTTCAATAATTAAAATGCCAATTAGTGACATGCTTCCAAAGCTTCGTCTTTGTTCATGTGTTCATTGTCTTCCAGAAACTTAATAATGTTGGCATGACTGAGGTGAATCCGTTTCGTTTGCTTTGTCAACAATCTTCTTGTTTTTTTAGACGAACTGATTCGAGTCCATCGTTCAGTGTCACATTTGCTGTGTACGTTTGAAATTTGAAATCTGGCCTTGACTGAGTGATTGTTCACTGTTGACAGTCATCCCATGACAGCTGAAGAGGGATCTCTATTGCGTTGCCTGCGACGCCGAAATTCACACGGCCCCGAATGTGCTCAAAACCCTGTTATAGTTGGGTCGAATCATCGACAAACCCTCGTCATAACCTTAATTGGTGTTTAGCGCCTATTTCAGCCATATTCCAGCTATATGACGGCTGTACATAAATACTGCACCCTGGTCTTCGGCGTGACAAGCGATCGCTTTGTACAATAGAAGAATATTGTTTCTTTGTTTGTTTGATGTTCAACGCCGCACACAGCAATATCCAGCTATGCGACGACGAGTTAATATAATCGAGTCTGGACAAGACAGTCCAGTGGTTGACGTCATGAGCATCGATCCGCGCAGTTGGGATACGGTGACATGCATCAACCAGGTAACCCAGCCCGACCAGCCAACCAACTGAGTCGACTTTTTGACGACGATTGTATGTTGCCGGATACCTATATGCTGACCGGTATCCCTACGGGTGTCCTCTTGTATTGAGCTATGACCCTAAAAGCTGAAATAGTATTCAAAGTAGAATGAAATCCAACTGTGTGTAATCTAGGATTGGACCAGGCACTTACAGTTTAAGGTTTCTTGTCGTAAGCTAGGTAACAAAAACTCAAAAAGGGACACTGACTCAATCAGCCTAATTATGCATCCTCTCATTATGCTTGCAACATTGTGCTCATTGAAGTCCGACGGACGGAGCCAGAAACTATATCCCGTATATCCTGCATCAATTAGTTGAAGGTGGTGTTCATGCTTTATTTATGCGTCTTGAAGCAGTGATAAATAATTTGACCCGTAAAGATCCGGGTTAGAATATGTCTCAGCAAACCATGCTTGTGAAAGGCGAATAAGTTGTTATCGTATCCCAATTGCGTGAACCGATGCTCATGATATCAGTCACTGGATTTGTCTGGGCCAGTCTCGATTACATGTACTTACAGACCGCCGTCATTCAGCTGGAATATTGGTGAGTGAGACTTTAAACAACAAACAAACAAAGACATATGAATAATCTCACCATGCCGAGGATGATATTGTTTTCATTCAAACAAATGATTTTATTGATTTTCTAGTCATGTTTATTTTGTCATACTTACTACATTTTTTTTATCTCTAAAGGATCCACTAAATGTCAAATTTCCTCACAAATACGACCAAATCTATTATGAAACTCAATACTTTTATTGTCACACGTTATCAAACCTCGATAACATAATAATCGGCAATATACGACTTTGTGTTGAACTTCATTATAGATGGGGGCACGAGGGGTCCAGTTGTCTAAGTCGCCGCGATTCGCTGTGCAGAGTTGCGTCCCTTCGGCACGCCAGAAACCTATGATCGTGGGTTAAAATCCCGGTTCGCCCCGATTATGTTTCTAGGTGTGACAGCACCATACACGTGCTCCTGGGTTTCACCGAAGTGGTAAACGTCTTTCACCTGCATCACTTCGGGCTTTCCTCCCACTCTAAGCTGACACGCCGTGATATAACTGAAATACTGTTAAAAGCGACTTTAAACCCAACTCACTCACTCATAAAAGCTGAAATGGAGAGAATTATCATTAAACCGTCTACGTGTTATCACAAATGAGCGGGCCACTGTAACTTGATAATGTCCTCATATTGCTTGACGACGGTACATTATCACGCCTTTGTTAGGTGACGTCATAGTGATAGGGAAATGTGACGTCACGTTTAATAGTGACGTCATCGCGACGTCATCTGATTTGTTCTCTGTCTTTATTTGTCATATTTCTTAATGTGGGGCCATGAAATTCGTGTTGATTGCAGTAATTGTTTTAAAACCGAAATTGTTGTTTATTTTATTTGATAACAAATTTCATCCATTGTTGCAATAATAACGGTAATGCTATTTTTTAAGGCATTAGGATTTGTAGAAGCCCTCGGTCTTTCCAACTGACCTCCTTTGTCCGGCAGTTAATGGAAGACCTCGGGCTTCTGCAAATGATTATGCCCTTAAAAAATAGCGTTTCCCTTATAGTAAACAGTTTAACCGAAGTGCAGCGAATCGGTATTCCCAATGTGTCTATACAAGCGTGTTTGCTTATACCAAAACATCAGCCGCAGCGAACATTGGCAAAAAACTTATGTTATACAGGTAACACACTCTATTGATTCAGTTTGTTGATACCTCATAAAAGTATAATTCTAAAAGGGCCGTGGTTGGAAATCCATTCATCATTTTTATAGGAGTCGCTTCGTGCATACTTCCTTGGCAGTGTGGCAATTTACATTCTCAATTCAGAACATGTACAATAGTACGATGATTTTCAAAGGGCGTTAAAAATCAACAACAGAAGACATGACATGATGAGAATTGATTTCTGTGTTGTTCTCGTTGTATCAACAGATTGCTGCTGATTGACTTCATCGGGCATCGATTCTCACGCCGACGGGGAGCTGTGTCGGCATCAGTGAACAGCTTCTCCTTAGAAACCACAAGAACAGTGACGCTGAAACTTCACATGTTTGTTTCTACAAATGATGACACTTGATTTTGATCAATGTGTTCGAATCCGATTGACTTTTTACGGACATTGCTCCACCATTTTTATGTGTCATGTAACGATGAAATGTGTATGTGGAGTGAGTAGTTGATCACGACACATCTTTTCCTTTTTGCGATATATATATGATCTACCTTGATAAAAAACCTTTGCAGTTTGAATAGATTAAGTGTTGGTTGGATTATTTGAATCTTCATGCAAACGTGAAACTACTGTCGAGTAGCATCTTAATGTTAATACATTATTAATTATACAGTCAGGTGCGCTACAGTGATGAGGCACTATCTTTAAAGAAATATGTGTATAGGATCCAGTGAAAAATAACACCAAAATGGGAATATTACTTTTGTATTAATTTAGCTGGAAACATTGGATGTTCTACTGTGGTGTTCATGTTAAATTGATTTCACAACACCAGATCTAGTCTTTGAAAGGCAGGTAAGGGAATTCATGGATGTGACTTCTTTATTATGAGGAACACAACGTTTCGGAGTATATGCTTACTCCTTCGTCAGGTGAATGAATTCTATGAGGCAGAGAGCACATATATGTATATGTAAGGGCAACAAAAGTAATAGGAGAACCAAAGGTTGGAAACGTAACAAGGGAAGATAACAGATAATTGGTGCTGATAGGTGATCAGCAATAGACAATGGAAGCCAACACTTTATAGTTATGAGCCCTGATAGTAATGGACCACTGGAAGCCAGGACTTAAATTATCACTGACTGCTAATTGACAAAGGACAGTGGGCAAGCGGGAAGCCGGAGGTAATTAGCACTGATAGGTAAAAGAATACAAATAGCAATGGACAAATGGACGCCAGCTGGATAATTAGCAAGACAAAGATCACAGCAATAAGGGATGTGGGGATGTATATACCAGATCCCCTCCAATAGTGGCCACCAGTACATTGGTGAAACCCCCAGACCCCCCAACACCCGACTCGAAGAACACCAGACCCATGTCATCAAACAAGAACACATATCTCAGGAACCAAGACACCATGTGGGAAGCCACCAACGTCATGTCTACCAACAACAACTGGAGACAAAAAAAACTATAAGAAGCCATTGACATCAGGAGACACCAGCCAGCCATGAACCGTGACCAGGGAACCTATCTGCCTAGTGCTTGGGAATTGCTTTGAATCTTGTCGGTGCTACTTTTCTCTGACTTTTGTTGCTCTTACATTTATGCTCTCTGCCTCATAGCATTCATTCATGAAGGAGTAAGCATATACTCCGAAACGTTGTGTTCCTCATAAAAAAGATGTCGACATCCCTGAATTCTCTTCCATAATAACAGATCTGTCACACAATTTAACACATATGGAACACATTACCGAACGATTTATACCGTTTTAAAATATGAGGTGATATTTTTTATCAAAAGTCACCAGGATTAAAGTTTGGTCTCAGAATGCAGGATTTGTACGGCAATTAATCTTGTGTGGGAAAAACTGGAACCTGATTAGGCATTCAGCGTTATTATTGATATTCAAAAAGTACAACGGTAGATCGTTACTGATCACACCACCGTGTCTAATTGATTCCAGGAGTATTGCTATAATGATACAAACAACATCCGTCAGGACTTGAGAAAAGCTGATGCTAATTGTAATTCGCATTTAACGACTGTAACACATTTTAGATAAGTGCACAGTTATTTTCCATCTTCTTCATTTAGAGATTTTGTCTGAGATGTTGGCTTTGCGAAATGATACTGCGACGTTGTTGTGTTGGATGTTAATAATAACGTAGCTGTAGTTACGAAGGATAATCCAGTAATTAAACACTAACAGAACAATTCCAACTTTAATGCCAATGACATAGTGTATGCTATTTCTCATGCCACTTTCAATACATTGTAATTTTATGTGTATCATGTTTGGGAGAGGCATTGAGATAAGCAAACCTTGTGTTTTTGCCAATCCCTCAACTGTATAGAAATAACTATGTTTATATCAAGCTTTCCGCGCACCTGGTGTATAGTTTTCTACTGCAGTCAGACAAGAACAATTATTATGCAGAGTGTTCGCTTCTTTATACGGGTATAATCAATATCTAATCATTAACCTGTACATACTCAGATCTCGCACAACTACCCGTTTGTTTGGGTTTCCATAAACTCCGCCCAGTCATGCAACACAAACCTCTTTGGTGATTCGTGGCACTCTTTCCCACTCTCTCTAGTGTCTTCATCTTGGACGTCAGAGACAAAGTGGTAATAACAGATATATCACAACGATTGTTGCTTCATATTGGACGTCAGAGACACAGTGGTGATAACAGATATATCACAACGATTGTTGCTTCATCTTGGACGTCAGAGACACAGTTAGGATAACAGATATATCACAACGATTGTTGCTTCATATTGGACGTCAGAGACACAGTGGTAGTAACAGATATATCACACAAAGTGTTGCTTAATCGTGGGCGTCAGAGGGACAGCGCTAATAACAGATATATCCCACAAATTGTGGCTTCATCTTGGACGTCAGAGACAAAGTGGTAATAACAGATATATCACAACGTTTGTCGCTTCATCTTGGATGTCAGAGACACAGTGGTAATAACAGATATATCACAGATATTATTGCTTCATCTTGGACGTCAGAGACACCGTACACAACAGACAGATATCACACACATGAGACACACCACTAAGGACGATGGCGGTGTTACTTCTCCCCCTTTTCATGACGGCTGTATTTGCTGGCAATACTTGTTACTGGCATATTTTTCAACGGTTTATCACACAGGACGACCTGGCAGCCAATGAGGTCGCATCCGACGTATTCTCAACTCAACATCTGACATCCTGTGCTAAACGTTGTGCCGAGGATGAGAAGTGTGTTGCTTTGACTTATCATGGGGACCAGTGTTCCATCTACAGATCATCTTTGTCGTCATCTGGCATCCCAGGATCCAGATCCTACATCAAGCAAGGAGGTGAGACACTGTTCAGACATGTTTCTTTCCCACAATGTGCATGGCCTCGTATGTGTCCTTAAGTTGTTACAGAATGTAATTGTTTGAATTCGGTTATAATATTATGTTTTGTTTGTTGTTTGACATCACAATGCTCTAGATATGTGACGGTGGTCTGTAAATAATCAAATTTGGACCAGACAACCCGTTGATTAACACCATGAGCATCGATCTACGCAATTATGACACGATGATATGCCTCAACCAAGTCAGCAAGCCATTATACATTTGGGGTGGACATTTTTACGTAAATGGTGTAATGATGTAGCCATTAAAACACTTGAGTCACTTTGAGAGGGCATGGGCTACCTGAAGCACTGCAGTTAGCTTTGTAGAGTTACACGACGTTAGAATGACCGGATCCGATGATCGATGGTACCGAATATCTTATTAGTATCTTATCTTTGCTCGCGGTGTAACTGGATTATGGTATGAACTAGACATAATCGAAACGAGTGAGACCGCCGCATCTATTTCCTAGTTAGATCTATGCATAAAGATCCAGAGTGACAAAACACTCTCCACAAGTCAGTATGACAAAAGGGATGACTTTAACCTTCCAAGAGTCAACTTTCCTTTTATGTAGAACAGTATTTCAGCAGCTCCAAAACGTTTGAGGTACAATCGAGCATGCTTTCAAAAGCGTCATAAGACTATTGTTCAGGAGTTGTTTGATCAAGGTTGCAACATTCAAGGTCTCAGTAAAGATATCAAAACGTTTTATGGTAGACACGTGATGGACAGTTCCAAACTTGACGCGTCCGAAGTAGTTCCCTATTTTGACTCTTTTTTCAGGCGAACAATTTACTTCCCCTTGCATGTGTTTGTGACGGGTGCCACCGATGGAGCAAGATACGCTCACCTTTTCTCGAACACATGGTATCGTCACTATTTGATAGTGATTCATAATCGCGTGCTCATGATACATTCGGCATCGCACAATCGACTCGATTTCCTTTGAGTATGATTTAATTTAGACAAAATTCTCAAAGCAATAATCAGTCTCGATACCAAACCGAAGCAGATTCCATTGGGCGTGATAGGCAATAGAGCAATGGTTTCTGTGGATGGGTCACTGAAAAGAACGTTGAAACCAGGTGTGCACGAAAAGGCTTAGCATGTCCTTCTCTACCCTTAACATCCGGCTCTCACTGACTTGTCTATTTGCGACCTGACGCCGCACAGCTGTACTCGAGTCAATTACTTAAATTGCATATCTAAATAGCTTCCAAACCATGGCTAAATTTTCACAATCATATTATTACTCTTGAAAAACGAAAACGTATTTTCCCGTATACGGTCATTAGACGAGAAAAAACGACGTTTTTTGGACGCTTTCTAACATTCGGTTTTCCGTCCATATCACTGTCAATCAAGCAACAGCGTGTACATATATTTCTATTTCTCAACATTCATTCATTCAATTTTGGAGCTCGATAGTCCTATGTTGTCGTTGTACGAAGGCATTGAAAACTGTTCATTGTCATGTCAAATAAGGCCACAAGGTTGCGCTGAACTCAGTGTCTCGTGGTGACCGCCCCGGGCAGCAATCACGGCACTGCATCCTCTCGGCTCTGACTGGATATGTGTACAAATTCTGTCCTGCGGAATTCTGCGCCATACTGCTTGTAACGCGTTGGCCAGTTGTAGTAGTTCCTGTGGCGTATTCTGACGTTGACGTACACATCGATCGAGTTCATTCCAGAAGTGTTCGATTGGGTTGAGATCTGGAGATCTCGACGGCACGGGTAAGCCGTTGATGTTGGCATTATGAAGATAGACTGCCGGGACACGAGCTGTCTGTGGTGGAGCGTTGTCCTGCTGAAACACCTCCGTCTGGCGGTCAATGGTTGGTTTGGTAGCTCTTGGTCGGCCGGTTCACGGACGGTCTGCAGTGGAATTGAACTGGAATTGAAGTGTATCGGTCACAAAGGCGGACAATGGTGGACGTTGAAGTGGCGTACAACAGAAGACTGTGATTCCCCTCTTTGGATACGTCCTATGGCGATGCTCCGATCGACAGCGCTGAATCTTGTCAGTTTCGAGATTGAAAAATGTTGACAATTGAATGACAAATTATTGGCTTATGCTTGCCTTTTTTATAGCCACTACCACGAGTTACGAATGCCATAACTTGCACGTGCACTTTGCTTAACTGTTTTCCTCCATGACATTTTTGAACAAGTTTGAAAAGAATGCCGTTTAAGACTTTGCAAATCGACAATGCCTGCGTTCGAATATCACACCACCAACATTTTCCAATAACAAATATCCAATTTAGATACCGGATTTTTTGTGTAGTCAGGTTCAATGAACTACATACTACCTGTGCGTCTCTTTTTTTTTGAAGAGTGGAGATGTTAGGAGTCATATGTTTTGGGATACTTTAAACTCTTATTGACATTGGTTCAGTGGCTGACATTGCTGACATATTTAACTGATGACGTCATATAAAGGTATCCCACAGTGACAGGAGACTACGTTTCATATCATTCTTTGTAAATAACTTGTGTCATTATTGTGGATGTGTGTTTAGCTCTCCCGAATGCAGACCCGTGCCCCGTGTCTCAAGGCTACACATCGGTCCTCTACCCACGCTTCTGTTTCAAGCTGTACAACACCAACCCTTGGAAGAACTGGGCAGACAGCCAGGCCCGATGTCAGAGGGAAAACGGACGTCTGATCATCTTGAACACGACAGAGAAACACGACTACATCACTGCGTTCATGACGAAGGCATCTTCTACGAATGGTAGGTAACACCAAACATGTTCCTTTACAATTGGGTGCACGGGTGGCCCAGTCGTCTAAGGCGCAGCGACTCCCTGTTCAGAGTTGCGTCCCTTGGGCACACCAGAAACCTATGATTGTGGGTTCGAATCCCCGATTATGTTTCTAGGTTTGTCAGAACCATACCCGTGCTCGTGGGTTTCACCGAAATGGTAAACGTCTGAGACCTGCATCGCTTCAGGCTTTCCTCCCACATTAAGGTGACACGCTGCGCTATAACTGGAATACTGTTAAAAGCGGCGTTAAACCCAACTCACTCACTCCTTTTCAATTTTTTAGTTAATCTGAATGGAAAATATACTTGATAATAGTGGTGATACGAGTAACATAGACTAAAGCCTACAGTAGAGATGTGAATTATTGGCCCACAACGTCTTCTTCACAGAACCGCCTCCGTGGTCTAGTGGTAGAGCGTCCGCCCGGAGAGCGGAAGGTCCGGAGTTCGATTCCCGGGCGCGTCATACCAAAAGACGTTAAAAGATGGTACTTGCTCTTACTCTGGCACACACTAAGGGGCTAAAACAAGGACTGGTCGGCTCGGAGTCAGTATACTGTGTCTGAGTAGGGTATTCATGTTAAACTGCGGCATGGTATCTCAGTGAGCTGGCACTATATATCGGCATCAGTCCGGACTAGTACAAGCAGTCATACAAACACACACACGTACATGCACGTCGCTATATAAGCGCACTAATCTTGGACGCGACGTTAAACCCCATTTCACCTTACCTCTTCTTCACAGATACACGTACGTGAGATTAACGTCTCAACTGTTTTTGTTCACAGGGGCATTGATTGGACTGCAGGTGACCAGTTTAACCGACTTTGCCTGGACGGACGGATCAACCTTTCTCCGGGCAGGATCAAACGGATATGGTGGCTTTAGCAGTGGATGTGCATTCCTGGTTGAAGAGAGAGTAAAAACCACCTCTTGCTCAACTACAGGATGGTCCTTGTGTGAGTTAGTCTGACGCTTGATCAAAAGGGGAGACAGAAACATCTTTGCTTTGGATTTAATAAACTACACCGTCACATTGATTCCCTTTATGGCCTGTATACTCGAATATCCTTGGTAGTATTTTCTATTTTATTATTATAACTTCGTGTTGAGCCTATCCACATTGCACGAGGGGCGCTAGGGTAGCCTGGTGGTTAAAGCGTTCGCTCGTCAAGCAGAAGACCCGAGTTCGATTCCCCCCATGGTTATAATGTGTTAAACCCATTTCTAGTGTCCCCAACAGTGATGTTGCCGGATTATTGCTAAAAGCGTGGTACAACCATACTCACTCACTCCCATGAGTTGACATTTTGTCTGTGAAATATTGATAAGAGAAACTCACTAATTATTTAGCTACATTAATAACAATGTTATTAGCATCCAAGTTAACTAACACCACCAGTCTGGATACATACTCACAGCCTATGCAGTATATCTTTGAAACAAAAGTCTGTACGCCCTTAGCTACGTTAATAACGGTTATAAACACTCCCTGTTTGAGTGGATAGTGCCCACGTCAGTACAACTTTGAAACAAACAAACTATACCTCGATTTTCCCTAACGACATCAGTTTTACGTCAGTTTTTCTAACATCACTTTTTAGCAAACACGTCCAACATAAAGTACAAATTTCTATTCCTCAAGCTACCTTAATAACACAGTCAGTAGCACTTTCCGTTAAATGAGCTGCCTAGAGATCATGTATAAAAACTGCTAAATTTCGATCGTAACTGCATAAAATATTGTGTTTACATATTGCTGTGGTGATGCCTACGTACCATCGAGTGACCTTCACTTTCATCGTCATCCGGCCACATAATCACAGTTGTTGAGTGGGCTACTTTGAGTTCATTAATTCCCTAGCAAAACTGTGGGCGTGACAGACAAGTTCAATAAATTCCATTTATCAAATATCAAGTTACAGTGTACACAAACTGTTATGTCAAGTTATATTTTTACGAGCTTATAGTGACATTGATCGCATCCTATCATACGTCAGAATAATTCCCTAGGCGTGTATAGGAGGTATAAGAGGTATGAAGTGTCCGGCATCAGTCATACGCACGAGGTTGCGAAAACCAATTGCGGAGGCGAAGCTCAAATTCGAGCAAACGTTAAGGAGCCGGTCTGGCAAATCGTCACGTTAATATTTAGATATATCTTTACGAAAACATGTAATATTTAACTGATGCACTTTAGGTTATATATAACCTGTGATATCGAGCACTGTCCATTGAGCCATTGTCCCACAGAACTATATTATCCACGTCTTTGAAAGGCATTTAGAAGTGATACACATGAGGAGGAGAATGTATTGATGTTAAGTTTTTAATGAGGAACACAACGTTTCGGAGTATATACTTACTCCTTCACCATTCACGTGTTCCTCATAATAAAGAAACTGACCATCCATACTAAATTCGCCTCCTCATGTTACCCGACCCGTGAAGGTCCGGGGTAGAATAGGTCTTCAGCAAGAATTAAACTGACCGCCTCCGTGGTCTAGTGGTGATACGAGTAACATAGACTTAACCCTTTAGTAGAGATGTGATTTATTGGCCCACCACGTCTTCTTCACAGAACCGCCTCCGTTGTCTAGTGGTAGAGCGTCCGCCCGGAGAGCGGAAGGTCCGGAGTTCGATACCCGGCCGCGTCATACCAAAAGACGTTAAAAGATGGTACTTGCTGTTACCCTGTCTGGCACACACTAAGGGCTAAAACAAGGAGTGGTCAGCTCGGAGTCAGTACACTGTGTTTTAGTAGGCATGGTATCTCAGTGAGCTAGCACTATAAATCGGCATCAGTCCGGACTAGTACAAGCAGCCACACAAACACACACACACGTACATGCACGTCGCTATATAAGTGCAATAATCTTAGACGCGACGTTAAACCCCATTTCACCTCACCTCTTCTTTATAACCGTTGTTTTCTGTAGAAATCATAACTGCTCAGTGTCGTTGAAAAAAAACCCAACTGAATTTCTTTTAGAATTGTAAATAAAATTCAGATGCATTTAAAAATACCTTTGTGTTTTATTCCTGATTGGGACCCGTGAAGATGCAGCATAGAATGGGCCTTCAGCAACCCATGCTTACCGTAGAAGGCGACTATGCTTGTCGTTAGAGGGGACTAACAGGATCGGGTGGTCAGGCTCGCTAACTTGGTTCATGCATGTCATCGTATCCCAATTGCGTGGATCCATGTTCATGATATCAATCACTGGATTGTCTGGCCAAGACCGCCGACATATAGTTGGAATATTGCTGAGTGCGGCGTTAACCAACAAACAAACAAACATTCCGGATTGGAGAGGTACACCAGCCTCACTTTTAACTTTACCGTTCGACATTAGGCTTCGTGTTGTTTATTGTATCCACAGTGAGAAGTTTACAGCATTCTTTGTATATACAGTTTAGTTCGAAACAGAAATGAAATCGTGTGATGTGTCACGCAGCAGTTAACAATATGTCAGCTATGACATGACGTACCGCCTCCATGATCCAGTTGTAGAGCATCCGACCCGGTTCGATCCCCGGCCGCGTCATACCAAACGACGTTTAAAGATGGTACTTGTTGTTACCCTGTCTGACGCTCGGCATTAAGGGGCTAAAACAAGGACTGGTCGCCCCGGAGTCTGTATACTGTGTCTGGGTGAGGAATTAATTTAAAACTGCGGCATGGTATCTCAGTGAGCTGGCACTATAAATCGGCATCAGCCCGGACTAGTACTAAGTAGCCACACACACACAAGTGCAGAAATCTTGGACTCGACGTTGAACCCCATTTCACCTCACCTCATCTATGACATGACGGTGTTAAATATCGAGTCTGGGCTCGGCGGTTCTTAAACGCATGATCAGTGTCCTAGCATGGACTAGCGGGACCATATTCTGCCCCGGACAGGGACTGCGACAACATGAACACACATCACACGACGGCGTCTCTCACTAAATCTGACTCGAAATCCTAACAGAGTTATTCTTATTCTGCTACATTCACCACAGCTCACCCCATTCCGGATCCTGCAAGGAGACTCCCTATTATAAGTAATTTCGTGATCAGTTGATATGTTTTGTTTTTAGGTATAGTTTATACATCTAACATTGACCAAACTGACAATCAGTGCCAAACGCGTTTAGAAACTACCCATGAATACCTACAAAGCAAGACCGGGTATGGTACAGCAAGTTGATGGACATGAAGTTATTATTTGTTCTGGATAACAAGTGCTTTGTTGTATGTAGCGACGTTTATGTGCTTCTTCCTGTCCCTTCACCAGTTGGGGGGCACGGGTGGCCAAGTCGTCTAAGGCGCCGCGATTCGCTATGCAGAGTTGCGTCCCTTGGCACGCAAGAAACCTATGATTGTGGGTTCGAATCCCGGTTCGCCCCGATTAGGCTTCTAGGTTTGTCAGCACCATACCCGTGCTTGTGGGTTTCACCGAAGTGGTAAACGTCTGAGACCTGCATCACTCCGGGCTTTCCTCCCACATTAAGCTGACACGCCGTGATATGACTGGAATACTGTTAAAAGCGGCGTTAAACCCAACTTACTCACTCATTCACCAGTTGAAATGACAAGCTGTCTGATCTATTGGCTGAGTCTGTTTTTGCGAAGAGTTTGTTCGTTTATTTGTTTGTGTGTTGTTTAACGCCGCAATATTCCAGCTATATGACGGCCGTCTGTAAAAAAATGAGTCTGAAACAGGCAACCCAGTGATTGACATCATGAGCATCGATCCACACAATTGGGATACGATGACTAGCTGGAATATTGCTGAGTGCGGCGTTTAACAACAAACAAACAATCACAACCGTTGATCAACTTAACGAAATGGTGTGTCCTCTGATGTTCGTATGCAGGATTGTACGTGAGAACTTTCGTTGATTCAGGGATCGTACGTACATAATTGTGCAATGGAAGTAGTCAGAAACATTCTGACAATCTTCGTGTTGTTATTTGTTTCATGTTTTTCATTGTAACCAAGAGAAATAGTCAGAAATACCGACTGTCGCTGTACGAGATTTTGTGTCAGCCATGTCGTCACACAGGACGGAAACTTTGACAATTTCTGTTAAATTTACCAAATCATTGTAATGAATACAATTTCTAATTCCCTAATTCTTTCTACGGCACTCATGCATATTCTAAGCATATTGAGTCATTGTATCTCTCACACAAGGAGACAATGCTGTGTAACAAGTACAGGTTTCCGAGCACAGCAATCGTTTTCACACCTAATTTATTTCGCTAATTCAAATTCATCTGGATACTAGGTATTGGTGACAAAGACCATTGATCATTTAAATTTGATTCTAGAATGCATGAGGAATTCAGGGCTGTCTGTATCGCACATGAGTTTAAAAAATGCATGATGTAATAGGCATCTCATTACCGGCCCACGTGAACGTGATTGTTAACACTGTCCAATATGGCGGAGTGTTCCTTCAAGGTTCGTCTTTGCGTATTTTCCAAAACTCTGTTTCGATTGCAGGGTTATCGGCGACGTTTCACAATGATCATTTGTGATTTGATGTAAAACTAAAACAGAGATCACCGATATACTATTTATGAAATTCCATTCTCCGAGTAAATATGCAATATTTTTATTTCAAATCATACACTAAATATAGCCGTGAATGGGGATTAAGTAATGTGTCAACTATAGTGAGTTTTACGATGTACCTAATTTTCAGAGGTCATTTTCAGTAATTTTCCTTTGCCTAAAATGAGATTGGATGTTATCACAGAACAGGGAACACATTTCATCTCACACCTACGACCTGTGTCACGTTAAAATTCCACAACCTGTGTGACGTTACCTCCCATTTACGACCTGCGTCACGTTTACCTCACATGTATGACCTGCGTCACGTTTACTTCACATCCACGACCTGCGTCATTTTACCTCACATGTATGACCTGCGTCCCGTTTACCTCACACCTACGACCTGCGTCACGTTTACCTCACATGTACGACCTGCGTCACGTTTACCTCACATGTATGACCTGCGTCCCGTTTACCTTACATCTACGACCTGCGTCCCGTTTACCTCACATCTACGACCTGCGTCACGTTTACCTCACATCCACGACCTGCGTTACGTTTACCTCACATCTACAATCTGCATCACGTTTACCTCTCATCCACGATCTGCGTTACGTTTACCTCACATGTATGACCTGCGTCACGTTTACCTCACATGTACGACCTGCGTCACGTTTACCTCACATCTATGACCTGCGTCACGTTTACCTCACATCTACGACCTGTGTAACGTTTACCTCACATCCACGACCTGCGTTACGTTTACCTCACATCCACGACCTGCGTCACGTTTACCTCACATCTACGATCTGCGTCACGTTTACCTCACATCTACGATCTGCGTCACGTTTACCTCACATCTACGATCTGCGTCACGTTTACCTCACATCTACGATCTGCGTCACGTTTACTTCACATCTACGATCTGCGTCACGTTTACCTCACATCTACGACCTGCGTCACGGTTATCTCACACCTACGACCCGCGTCACGTTTACCTCACATCTACGACCTGTGTCACGTTTTCCTCACATATACGACCTGAGTCACGTTTACCTGACACCTACGACCTGTGTCACGTTTATCTCACATATACGACCTGCGTCACGTTTACCTCACATCCACGACCTGTGTCACGTTTACCTCACATCCACGACCTGCGTTACGTTTACCTCACATCTACAATCTGCATCACGTTTTCTTACATCCACGACCTGCGTTACGTTTACCTCACATCTACAATCTGCATCACGTTTACCTCACATCCACGACCTGCGTTACGTTTACCTCACATCCACGACCTGCGTTACGTTTACCTCACATCCACGACCTGCGACACGTTTACCTCACAATTACGACCTGCGACACAACTTCTCCCGTCTATCGTCGTGATAAAACTTAAATATTATTCAACCACCCTCACTTACGCTACTCACAGTCAACAAGTCCCATCAACGTTGGTCGAATTAGGTGGCCTCGATTGGTGTGTGAATTTACATTTTAACTCACTCACTCACAATTGGTGACTTGGATGACTTTTCTGAACAATGTAGACAGTCAAACACCGTTGTGTCGAAGTTAAAGGGACCTACGTAAATACTTCGACTTACCCGAGGTCGACACAACCGAAAATGAGGAAAAGAAAAGGAATACGCAGTGACCAAACTTTTACTTCGAGACAACCGCAAGTTCGACATATAAAAAGTTTCGATACAAAGGTGCTTGACTGTACATACATGTAGGACATTCAAGACGCAAATTTCCACTCAGTGGAACTAAGTTCTCAAGAATTCCTAGCCATTTCTTTTTTGCCAAAGTAAACCGAAAACAAAATCATGACAAATCTGTAGCTATTCTTTCCTACCCTCTTAACATCTTGTTTTCTTTCACTAATTAATGGATACCTTAACCCTCTTTGAAATATCACATCCATAGACATGATTGAGTGTTGACTTCAATATGGATGCCTGCCAAACAACTGTGTATTAATAAGTCACCATTCACAAGTGTACGTGAGTAAAATTTAAATTTAATTCTACCACGATTGGGTTATTCAGCTCTTGAATAGTAAATGGAAGATGGAACTCATTTGTAAACAAAACA